CTCATGACCATCAAAATGTTAAGTCCAGGAAATCCAATGCCTTCTTCTGACCGTCTTTTTTTTTTTTTTCGAGACAGGGTTTCTCTGTAGCTTTGGAGCCTGTCCTGGAACTAGCTCTTGTAGACCAGGCTGGCCTCGAACTCACAGAGATTCACCTACCTCTGCCTCCTGAGTGCTGGGATTAAAGGCGTGCACCACCTCCCAGCTCTTAGTTTGGGTTTCTATTGCTGTGAAGAGATACCATGACCATGGCAACTGTCACAAAGAAAACATTTAATTGAGGGAACTCGCTTACAGTTCCCGAAGTTCAGTCAATTATCATCATGGCAGTGGGCACGGCTGCAGGGAGCACGGCCGCATGCGGGCAGAGGTGGTGCTGCAGCTGAGAGTGCTACATCTTGCAGGCAACAGGAAAGCAGCTGACACACTGGGCAGTATCCTGGTATATGAAACCTTAAAGCCTCTCCCCACAGTGACACACTCCCTCCAACAAAGCCACACCTCCTAATAGTCCCACTCCATATGAGATTATGAGGGCCAGTTACATCCAAACCACCACACCGTTCCGGGCACCACACACACATGGCATGTAGACAGATGCAGGCAAAAAATAAAGCCATAAACATAAGATGGAAATAAATTTTTAAATGTCAATGGCTCTGAAGTATGGGCTGTGCGGTCCAGAGCCTAGTGCAGCTTCAGTGGGGCTGTTGCCAGCGCCCCCAGGTCAGACCCACCATCCTGATAATCAGACGAAACCTTTGGAATGTGTTAACATAGCCAAGCTTAAGTTCCACCAATGGAAAGATTAACAATATTATCAGATAACATCTGAGGCCTAAAGTGAGATCCCCACGTTCCTGTTTCCACCAGTGTGTTAGGTCCAAACTGGGCTCCATTGCCAACAAAATCTGATTGCTTTTCTGCCATTTTGATCCTCTCTATCCTCCTGTTGCCCACCGAGACATAGCCTTCGCCATTTGTTCTCCAATAAACCTTTTTTACTCATGGAATGTTCTAGTTTGTTGGTTTTGCCGTGCTCCTTCTTACACAACCTATTTTTTAAAAGATTTTATTTATTATGTACAGTGTTCTCCCTGCATATATACTTGTGTTGGACTCTAGTGTCCAAACACCGAGGAGGAGTCGCCCCCCAAGACCACCTCACACACCACAGCCGATGCAAAAGCATGAGGATTTTATTACTTCTGTCAGGACAGGGTCCCTCAGCATTCAGGAAGCCGAGAGACCTCGGATAGCTGGCACAGGCTACTTTTAATGGAGAAGACCACAGAAGCAAGGGGGGTTGTAATTGGCTTATTCAAAAGGGCTATTACCAATAATTGGCTGGAGAGCTGTTGCCAGATCAGATGAGGTAAGAGTTCATTTTGACCCCATTTCCCAGGGGTCTGAATCAAAACATACGTATATGGGTAATTGTTCAGGAACTAAGTACATGCATGTGTAGCTGTTAGGTCCTTGGTTCCCAGGGGAGGAGGGGAAGCACTATGGCACGGAGGCAGAGAGGATTTAGAATTGTCAGAAATGGCTTCAGAATTGTCTCAAAGTCTTACACCTGCACGCCAGAAGAGGGAGTCAGATCTCATTGCAGACGGTTGTGAGCCATCATGTGGTTGCTGGGAATTGAACTCTGAAAGAGCAGACGGGGCTCTTAACCTCTGAGCCATTTCTCAAGCATCACAATCCAGTTTTTAAATGCCTTGATTTATGCCAGGCAGTGGTGGTGCACGCCTTCAATTCCAGCACTTGGGAGGCAGAGGCAGGCAGATCTCTGTGAGTGTGAGGCCAGCCTAGTCTATAAGAGCTAGTTCCAGGACAGGCTCCAAAGCTACAGAGAAACCCTGTCTCAAAAAACCAAAAATAAATAAGTAAATGCCTTGATTTATAACTTTCTTTGTTACCATAAAATCTCATTCAAACCACTCCTACATAAGAGCAGTACATTGGAGGGAGATCCACATCTATGTTTCTGGGCCGTGGTCACTTTTATTTTGGCTCCGGAATATACTCTTATGTCCTTTGTATTGAGAATTGTGTTTTTGTGTCTACGTTACAGAGATGCTCCCATCACTCAGAAAGTGTGTTTATGACTGTATATGTATGCTGTGCACACAAGTGTGAAGGGATTTTACAAGTAGGAAAGAAAAAAAGAATTAACAAAGACAGAAAAGGAACATACAGAGGGAGAGCAGGAATCCCACACAACCCAACCAGAGGACGCTTCCAAGGAGGAGAGAAAGCTGTGTTGTCAGAGGCCATGGTGAAGGCTGGAGCAGGAAGGTGCAGGCACTATAGGTCAGGGGTCAGAGGAGCGAAAACCACAGACATGGATATCTGATTTACTAAGAAACTAGCTTGTCACCCAAGTCTGATGGGACCGAGTCTCAAGTGCTAGCGAGCTTGTCCTGATAGAGAGAGGAGCAGGCAGCTTTAAGAGGGAAACTGAAGGGGCTGGAGAGATGGCTCAGAGGTTAAGAGCACTGGCTGCTTTTCCAGAGGTCCTGAGTTCAATTCTCAGAAACCACACGGTGGCTCACAACCATCTGTAATGGGATCTGGTTATAAACAATAAATAAAAAGAAGGAAACTGAGTCTGGGCTCAGTTTCTGTCCTAAGCTTCTTCCCGAGCGGTCTTCACTGTGCTCCTGTCTCAGTTCAGACTCCACACGGCTGTGGGACCTCTGATGAGACACACGACGTTAAGGCTGCGGGGACACTGCAGGGATCTCATCTTTTATCTTTTTTGTTGCTGTTATTTTCAAATGTCTGTCTGTCTGACTGTCTGCCTGTCTGACTGTCTGTGTGTGGGTATGCACATGACTGCAGGTACCCCCCAAGGTCAGAGGTGTCAAATCCCATGGAGCTGGAGTTATAGGAACTTTTGAACCTTCTCCTGGGTGCTGGGGCCCAGACGCTCCAGAAGTACATGCTCCAACCTGATGAGCCATCTCGGCACAGCCCCAGCCTGCACCCATCTGTATGTAACTATTCACTAGAGTATAGGTAAGAATCTGAAGGAGGAGGCTGCGACAACGTCTCAGTGGATGAAGCACCTGCTCTACAGGCTGATCCCCACAACCCACACAAAGACAGCAATGGGCGCCTATAAAGCCATGCTCCCGTGTTGAGACAAGTGCAGACAGGAAAATCCCCAGTGGCTGGCCTGGTATATGAACACTAAACAAAGGATCAATAAGTAATGTGAGGGCCCAGTACTCGAGGCTGTCCACAGACACCCGTGCAGTAGCTGACTTTCCCACCGACACCCAAGGCTGTCCACAGACACCCGTGCCTTAGCACTTTCCCCACGGACACACACTGTAAGAACAGAATCACCTCTAGGTGGAGACATGTCTTTATCTCCTTTCTTAAGGTTGATCCACTGGGCCACCCTCCCCAGCAAGCACATTCAGCTTAAGAGAATGTGTTTTTCCTTTCCAGAATTCCTGCCCACACCCCGTGTGGTCTAGAAGAGGGTCAGCTGTGATACCCACCTTTGG